GTAGCAGAAGCTACGTGCCCTCCTCCTGCTGTGCCCAAGACCACCCGCTCCACCCACCGAACCAACGCCACATCACCCCGCCTGACTTAAAAGACTGTCATGACAGTGGACCCCAAACTTATGGACTATATGAACTCACTTATACATGTTGGAGGGATGGCCTAGAGCCTAAGGGAATGATATCTGTGTGTATACCTCAAAAACCAGGAAATGGGATGGTGAATTCCTTAGAACGTACTGGGAAACACGGAACCTGAGCATAACGTAAATGGTATGGAATCAGGGGTGGATACTGTCCTGGTTTTGGCTGGGATAGAGTTAATTTTCCTTCTTAGCAGCTGGAGTAGTGCTGTGCTGTGGATTCAGTAATGGGTGTGGTAGGAGAAGAATCTTGCTAATACACTGATGTTTTCAGTTGTTGCTGAGAGCTCAAAGACTCTCCAACTCCCCATGTCCTGCCTGTGCGTGGGTGCACAAGAAGCTGGGAGGGAGCAGAGCAAGAGCACTGGACACAAATTAGCCAGTGAAATAATCCCCATCATGTAATGTCGTGCTCGGTGTATAGAGGAGGGGTGGTTGGGAAGGGAGGGCTCTCGCTTCTGGGATTGCAGTTTTGGGATCTTCACTTCTCTGGGATCACTGGCATGGGAATGGGCTGGGCATCAGTGGGCAGGTGGTGAGCAATCACATTGTGCATTACCCCTTTGTATTTTACTGAAAAAAAAAAAAAAATTACACTGTTTTTATCTCAACCTACGAGTCTCTCTACCTTTACCCTGCCATTTCTCTCCCTCACCCCCGAGGGAGGGGAGGGTGAGTGAGCAGCTGTGTGGTGCTTGGCTGCCGGCCAGGCTTAAACTACATCAATCACTATCTCAAAAATCATTATTGGATTAATTAAGATACGCCCACTCACAACTTGAAAAGCAGTCAGAAAAAGGAAAAAAAATAATAATCTTGGTTCTGCAGTTACCATAAGGCAGTATATTTAGACATCTGTGAGGTTCCAGTTTCCAACAATGCTAGCTGCCTTTTGATTTTTTGAGATAAGTACTGTTAGCAGTAAAATCAAATGTTTCTATTGGAGTTGCGTTCAGGGCAAGCATTCAGTATTCAAGTAGTTTGTATTTACCGTAACAAGACATTCACTCATTCATTCATTTAGGGTAAGGGCTTTGCTATTCTCTATATATTACGAACTGCCTTGGCTTTCTTTCCAGTTTTATAAAGGACTCTTGTGAGAGGTTTCAGTGATAGCAGATAGCACAGCCTGCAAGGGAGCCGTTCCTTGTGTTGCCCTCACTGCAGATGAAAGCCCTTCGTAACAGAGAAGGACAGAAGCAGGTAAAGTGCGGAGCCGCGGACGAACGACACGCCGAGACGGGTTCAGTGTGGGTGATAGAGCATCAATCTACGTGTGTGTGTTTATTGGTCAGGGTACATATATTTATACTTACAACACTAATTATTATGCCTACTAGTCACTAGCTGATTGGCTTAAGCTCTAAAGGTCGTATTCGCACGGTCCACCTACTTGCAGTCAGCTAACAGCACAAGCTGCTCATAACACTAAGTTTCTCATGCCACTATTTCTAATTCCTCTTGACTTGTTTTCGATACACAACAGTACCATAACACAATGTTTCTCAGACCACCGTTACCATAACACTGGGTTTCTCAGACCACTGTTACCGTAACACTAGGTTTCTCAGACCACTATTTTGAATTCCCCTTAACCTGTTTTCGACACACCACGGTACACAGGGCTGAAGCGTCCTTGACATTCCTCCTGTATCAGCAGCTGCGAGCAGCTGCAGGCAAACCCTAGTGAGGCCCAGCATCAGCAGCTAGAGCAGGCTCTGATCATACAATTGCTCGGTGGGCTCAGGACCCTTGTCTCTGAGCCATTCAACAATTCCCCCTCTTTCTTTTTGTACGAGCAGAGCCTGCCCCAACGTATGTTCAAAGATTTTCTTAATACATGAGAAGGCACAACTTAAGCATGCAGGCTTACAGTCTATTGACTAAAGACACTCATCACGCACCCGGGAGTGCTGTGATAGGTCTGCATCGTTAGCACGCGTGAACAAACTAAATCTACTTTGTGGTTAGTGCATCCAGGCATTCAAACAGGGAGGAAGCACTCGCTTGACTTCCTCCTTCTTGCCCTTCCAGGTGACCTCAAGGGCAGGATTACCACGGGGCAGTTTTCTGCTCAGAGACCCAGCCTGGATTGTCCAAACCCTGTAGGATCAGTGCATAACCCTGATCCCCCCGCAAAAAAAATTCCTACCAGGTTTTCCCCCTTTTTATTTTTGGACAATCCAGACTCCTTTTAATGTTTGAATCATAGCATTCATAAAGCATTTCCACACAGACCCCAATACCATCATGACAATCATAATGACAATCAGCATTGCCAGTCTAGTGCATCAACAAAGCTTTCAGCCAGCCAGTAATTTCCAAGTTTTGTAGATTTATAACCATTCTGTCAGTCCATTTTCAAATTCCCAGAGTCTTGTAACCATTCTGTCAGTCCATGTTCCAATCTTATGTCAGTCTTATGTAGCAAGAAAACCATCCTTACAGTTTTAAAAGTGTCAGCAATTGTAACAACAGAGTATGCAATACAGAACTGTAATACAGGTTTCAGCATGCTATGTTCTAAACATTGCACTGAACCCACAACATACAATGAATCTGATACTACATGAACAAGTTTTGATACCAGTGTTGATGTTGAAACACCCAGATGGCAGTTCAGAGTTCTAAAGTTCGTAAGGAGTCTCCAGACCCCCCGAGGAGAATCTTGTGGGGTTGTGTTCCCGGGTGTCCCCCATCCGTTGTCACTAGCGGGCAGGCCAACGCCCCAGCAGCATGCCAGTCCCCTTCTAACAAGGCACCCCGAATCCCCCCACTCCATCGGGGCTGAGCTAAAAGCGGAGCTGGTTCTGGTGAGGGTGACGGGAGTGGGTGTGGGGGGGCTGCCGGCAGCGCTTCCTCTTCTTGTCATTGTAAATGCAGAGTTCTGCTCTGTAGCTCAACTTCTGTAATTTTCTGTCAAGCTCTCGGACTCTGTCCCTGTCCCTTACCGGTGTGTGACCCCGGTGCTTTAATTCGGACACAGCCGCCGTTTTTCTCTCCGACTCAGACGCTGACGCGCCGTCAGGGGCGGAACCATCCGAAGGGGGGGGGGGGGGGCAGAGGTTCGGGCGGCAGCCGCTCCCCCCTGTCCCCCCGCGCCGCCTGATTTCTCTGCCGCTTCTTGCGCGGTGGAGCAAACAGGAACACTTGGTGCCGTGCCCTTAATAGAGCGGAGCTGCTGATTATCCCCGAAGAAGGTGGCTGATCGGGACGGGCGGTTGGTTTCGGCAGGGACCGGCGGGGATGGTACAGCGCCGACAGCCGCCATGGCAGCAGCAGCTACTTTCTGTTCTGCTGGCATCTCCCTCAGGGCTTTTACGGGCGTTCGCCAGACCAGCCCTTGCTGTCGTGCTTCACTGCCTTTATTGCCTCCAGTGATGGTCTCGTCCCACAATAAATCACCTACTGTGCGCCTACGGTATTCAGTCGAAGCAGGAGTTTGGGGGATAAGAAGCGTGCTGATTTTGTGTTAGCATTTGCAACTTAAATCATAAACTACTGTTTATTCTCTTAACTCTTCAGAGTTAATGCATCATTGTTAGTACAACAGGCAGCACGTGCCTGCGCAGCGTTTGAGGTTTTACTTGAAAATTACAGCTTTGGTTGCTTCGTGCACAGTGTAGCTCTTGCTCCTTGAATTTCACCAGCAGCCATGCAGGTTCCCCCAGGTCTCTTGGTATTTTGCTCTTCTTCAACCTTCAGTTTCAGAAATCAAGAAAATGTTTTTTTGTTTGAATAGTGTTTGGTTGCTGTAATGACAGCAACAGGCTTCAGAGATGAACCTCAGCAATTCAGTAGTCCCAAGCTTTCCACTTTGTGCCTTTAGTAGAGAAATAATTTGAACAGTGATGAAAACTAAAGGGTGTTTGAGCATTGCAGAGTTTTTCTTTGTATGGGTGAACAGATTTTGGTTTTCTCAGATTAGTTACTGTCCATGGAGGCAAGGAAGGAGAAGCCAAGCGGCAGCGATGTATTTTCTTTCTATTTAAGACACGCATAGTGATTAGAAGGGTAGCCTAAAGAGGGGAAAAAATGCACCAAGTTCTCCAGGAGGCCCTTTCAAAGCCGCAGCTGTGACTCAAGTGTGAGACGTGGCTGGGGTTTTATTGCTTTGAACACAGTAATCCTGCTCATCCCCTTCCCCAGCCCAGGTGTCAAGGGGTAAAGAGCAGCAAAAAGAGTTATTTCTGTTTGCTCCTGTAGTTCTCCTTTGGCTTTTAAGACACAGCTGCTCTTCAGGCAGTGAGAGCAGTGGTATTTCAGGCGAGGAGAGCATTGGCTGTCAGTCTTTGGCTTTTGCAAGGATAAAACCCGTGGTTTTGGTGGAAAGTGCACTCGCAGCAAGGGAAGCCTGAGCCTCGTTGGGCTGAAGATGAAGCTTCACCCTTGCAGGTTCCTCAGGGCCTGTGGAGGTTGTTGGTGGCCATGTCCTGGGGCCAAGTGCCATCTGGTGATTCCTGCAGCTATTGCCTTTCGATAAAGGCTGTGAGAAAAAGTGCAGGGTTTGGGGGGGTTTCGCCCACTTTGGAAATCCCTTTGGTTTTTTGTTTGTTTGTTTGTTTGTTTTTTTTAAAAAAAGGAACTGCAAGAACGAGGCAGGAGGTTTGTTTTTCTAGTGTGAAACCCTCAGGCCTCTCCCCCTGTAGTAAGTAACTTCCCAACTCACATTGTATACAATCTAGGTGATGCCACGTGCTGTTTTATTTGGGTATGGGAAGAAACAGCTCCTCCAAGTCTGTGTTTTTAGGGCCGTGCCTGGAGGAGGAGGCACCCAGAGGCCTCGTGGACTGATGTGGAGGCAGGGGTGGGTGATGGCTGGGGGGACATAAGGGAGCTCTACACACCCATCTCCAACTTTTCCCTTCTTCTCGTTGCTGAACAGAGACATGACGAAGAGGCGGTAATTGACCGGGGAGGAGTGAGCAGTGTTGTCAGGATTCACTATGAGATGGAGGAGTTGGAAGGTGAGTCTCTGCTGAGATGCTCAGAGAGGGGCCACCAGCCCAGCGCCTCTTCCCACTGCACAAAGACCCTAGCAACGTCCCTTGCTCAGTGTCCCCTCACATGCAGGAAAACGTGCTGTGCTTCTTAATGAAGCAGCACAGTTATTTGCACATTGTTTACTATTACAGTTTCTCAAATGGAGGAGGAAAAGCCCCTGCAGAGGCCACGGTGTGAGTTTTAGCCACAGGGCTGGATAATCCGTGGTTTGTTTTCCCACAGCAGCTGCTCCTGGGCTTGGAGAGGTCAGGAGACTGATTTGACAGCTGCAGGCATGGGGCTGTGATTTATCATGGGACTGATTTGATCTTCTCACCTTCTGCCATACAAAGAATTTATAAATAAATACCTTCTGTCACTGCTCAATGAGCAAGTCTGAGTGTTGTCGAGCCAAATCTGGAATTTGGGAAGAGGTTCGATAATTCAGGGCACTTTCCGATGACCAGGAGCCATCACTTGTTATTTCTCTGTTGTTGCAAAGCTCGAGTAAAACAGGCTTGGAAAAAAAGGAGAGGTCTGTGATGATCCAGTGAAAACAAAATTAAGAGAAATGGGTGTTTCCTTCTGGGACGGCTGCACTGATTTAGCCGTGGCCTCTGCATGAACCATACCCACGATACCAAGAATGCTGCAAATGCTGCTTTTCCACAGGCCACCGGAACATGTCTGTGGGCATGTGGATGCCACCAGTGAGGCAGAGCCACCGGCACCACCGACCCCGCAGCCAGAAGCATCAGGAAGGTGACCAGGAGAAGGACTCTGCCCCAGTGGAGCAGGGCTACCACTGTAAGTCCCACCACAGTTTTCACTAAACTCCTCAGGGCTATGTAGGCAATGGGGTCTTCTGCACACAGGTCCACGTGACTAGCTGGAGTGACTTGCCTGCTCTTCCGAGGAAAAGTGACATTATTTAGCAAGACCTCCTTTTTCCAAACTTTTCCCAGGTTTTTTTTTTTGTTTGTTTGTTTGTTTGTTTGTTTGTTTTCTTTAAGGTAGTTAAATGCATAATGGATTTAGGGTCACCTTCCTTCGAGGGATCCTGGCTTTAAAAATGGAAATGTGGGGAAGAAAAGCTGCCCATCCTTTTGCAGAGGTGGAACTGATGCTTTTTCTACTTGGTGGCTCTGCGCAAGCCTGGACAGAGCCGGGGGAGAGGGGACAGCCAGATATTTATGGCTGAACCCATGTCCACTTTGCATGTGAGCGTGACGGGCCATATTCAAGCACGGTAACAGGATGGGGCTTTTTCTTCTGCCCCCAGACACCCCATCCCAGCGGGTGCAGTTCATCCTCGGGACCGAGGAAGATGAGCAGCACATCCCCCATGATTTGTTCACTGAGCTGGATGAGATCTGCGTGAAAGAGGGTGAAGATGCTGAGTGGAAGGAAAGGGCAAGGTAAATCTCTGCTGCCGACTGCGGTAGGAGAGGAGACCCTGTGCCAACAGCACCCGCGGGCTCTGCTGTCTGCTCCCCGGCAGGCGAGGCTTTTGCAGCTGCAGGTGCTGCTGCGTGGAGCCTTCTCCTCTTGCCACCCCACAGCTCTACCCAAGGGGCTGCGGAGCTGGGGCTGTTTTCTCGCAATGGGGCTGATGGTGCCCGATGCCCGCAGGTGGCTGAAGTTTGAGGAGGACGTGGAAGACGGTGGCGAGCGCTGGAGCAAGCCCTACGTGGCCACGCTGTCCCTGCACAGCCTCTTTGAGCTGAGGAGCTGCATCCTCAACGGCACAGTGCTGCTGGACGTTTCTGCCAACAACATCGAAGAGATTGCAGGTATTGTGGGCGCTGGCAAATGGCAGTTGATCAGCCAAGGGAAACTCTGGGAAACTCTGCGCTGTAGATTGCTTCCAGTTTGGTTAAATGTGTAGAGTCAGACCGAAAGGCCACATTGGGCAAGAAAATTACATTATTTAGAATGGGAAATAATTACCTGAGAGTAATAAATGAGCACTTAGATGGTGTTTATTAGCAAAAGAAAATTCTTGCTTTCCCTCCAAAGGCTGAATTGTGATAAAACGTCTTGCTAAGCAAGGCTGAGCCTGCATTAGGGTGGCCTGTGTGGCCACAGCCTTCCCCAGGGGCTCTGGGGGTCGGGACTTGATGGGGTTTCTGCTCCAATGGCTTAATTTCCCTTTGCCAGTCCCCAGATATGATCCTGGGCCAGCAAGAACAGTCCAAGGAGTTTGATGAGTGCACACGGGTGAAAATTCGAGAAGTCCTCTTGAAGAAGCATCACCATCAGAATGAGAAGGAAAGAAGCAACATTTTCCCCATTCTCCACTTGTTTGGTGATGGGAGTGAGAAGCAACCAGACCTGCACCCCCTTGACAAGCCAGGTGAGGGGTTTTGCAGGGCTTTGGGCCCAGGTGAGGGTTTTTCCTGGGATTTGGCCACAGGTGAGGGGTTTTACAGGGCTTTGGCCACAGGTGAGGGGTTTTTGTTGGGCTTTGGCCACAGGTGAGGGGTTTTTGTTGGGCTTTGTTCTCATTAGGCTATTCCTGGCAAAAGAGAGGCATCCCAATTGCTCTTTTTCCATTCTTCTGTGTGTCTTTCTTTTTCCCACCAGCCCAAACACTCACCCCTCATCCTGCCACCACTGCAGGAGATAAAAACGGGGTGAACCGTGAGACCAGCTCAATGGATTTAAGCAAGGTGAGACACTCATAGCTTTCTTACGCCTTTAGGGCCAGATTTGCTCTTGCAAACTTGGCTGGAGAGCATGCTGCAGAGTGCTGTGGGCTTTGCTTTTGGAGTAATTGCCTGAAAATCACTTGTCGTGCCCAGGCGGAGCTGCACTTCATGAAGAAAATTCCCACCAGGGCTGAAGCATCTGACGTGCTCGTAGGAGAGCTGGATTTCCTTCAGCAGCCCTTCGTGGCATTTGTCCGCCTGACCCCAGCTGCCCTCCTTTCGAGCATGATGGAAGTTCCCATCCCGATAAGCTCCAGATAAGAAGCACAAACTTTTCATTTAAAAGAAAATCCAACTAAACAACACCAAATTGCATGCATCGGTTTGGCGTCCCAAGGGAATGCAGCCAGCGAGAGCAAGCACGTTTCTCCCACTCACATACCCTTGCCATCGTTTCTCCCTTCCCTGCTCTATCTTTTAAACCCGTTGGCCAATTTTAATGAAAGTTGGCCCAAAAATTCAATTCGTGGTTGGTTTTGATGAGTTTCAAATTCACCACAGAGTTCAGTAAGCCTATGTGTCCCCGCTAGAGCTGTGTTCTGGGCTGGGAGCTCCCGGGGATTTCCTTGGGTGCCCTTTGAGCAAGGGCATGTTTTTCTCTCTCATTTTGTTTTCCTTGCCCAGGTTCCTATTTATTTTGCTTGGACCAGAAGGAAAAGGCCAGCAGTACCATGAGATTGGCAGGTCAATGGCTACTATCATGACAGATGAGGTGCGACAAGATCAGAGATATCTCTGGGTCCTTTTTGGCTTTTTTCACCTCTCCCTGTCTCTGTAATAGTGAGGAAGAGGATTTGCGTGACCTGCAGCCCGTGGGAGGGACTCACGTCAGAGAAACTTTGTGGAGGACTGTCTCCTGTGAGAGGGGGACCACGCTGGAGCAGGGGGGAGAAGTTCCAGAAGTTCAACCCCCACCCCCGAAGACAGAAGTGGCAGCCCTGACTGAACCCCCCATTCCCTGCCCCTGTGCCGCTGCGGGGAGGACGTACAGATATCCGGAGCGGAGCTGAGCCCGGGAAGAAGGGAGGGGTGGGTGGGTGGGGCGAAGGTGTTTTTCTACATATGGTGATGCTTCTCACTCTCCTACTCGGTTTAGTGTGGTTGTTGCTAGTGTCTGTAATAAATCTATGTTCTATTTTTCTTCCCTTAATGAGTCTTGCCTTTGGCCTGTGATTATAATGGGTGATTTACCCCTGCCTGTCCTATCTCGAATCCCAAGCCTGGCTTATTTCCTCCTTCTCAGTGCCTTGGGGGGGTGGGGGAGGCAGAGGGGGAGTGAGAGCAGCTGCTCAGTTGTGCCCTCTGAGCTCAAACCACGACACAACCGAAGGCTTCCTTCTTGCAGCAGAAGACAAGAAAGCCTTTTGCGTAGAGGTTGCCAACACCAGGTAAGGAACTGACACCGCAAGGCTCAGGGGAGACAGAGCAGCGCTTGTTACTCAGGCCTTGAGCCCCGTCACGCGCCCTTGAGAGCAAAAAAGTCACACGTGCTCTACGGGAATGTAATACTGGGCCTGGGCTGCGTCCGTCATCCAACAGGAAGGATTTCCCTCCTGCTGGAGACCAGCAAGCCCCTCTCTCTCTAGTGCAGGGAGGAGAAAGGGCTGTGAATCGACGAATGAATGAAAAGCAAATGGTAATCAAACGGTCATGAAGCAATCACAGAAGGGTCACGAGAATCACAGAATCCCTTAGGTTGGAAAAGACCCTTACTGATCACGGAGCCCAGCCGTTGACATGGACGACGCTGCCAAGGGCACCGCTAAGCCATGTCCCCAGGTGCCACGGCTACACGTCTCTTAAATTCCTCCAGGGATGGTGACTCAAGCCCTTCCCTGGGCAGCCCGTTGCGGTGCTTGGCAAAACTCGCCCCATCGACCCGGCCTGGGCAGATGCCTCTGTAGAGCCTCCCGACCCTCAAACGGACCAAACCGCCGCCGAAGCTGCCCCGCAGCCATTTGCACTTTCCCTGCCCACCAAGGACGGGCTCACACTGTCTCTGAAAGGCAGTTTATTGCCACGGAGGAAGGCAGGCCATTTGCGCCGTGAGTCCCCAGCTCGCGCTGCCGCTGCTTTTCCTTCTGGAGGCAGCACGTCACCAAAGCGCTAAGGACGACTTCGGGAGATGACGACGTTGGGCCACCTGCGACACTGAGGTGCCGTCCTGAGGCCCCGTGCTGTGCCCCGGCCACGCGCCGCGTCGGAGCGGAAGGGTTGTGCGAGCCCAGGCCGGGCTCCAAGGTGGCTTCTGTCCCCTGGAGCCGGGAGCCCAGGGCCGGCGGCAGCCCTGCAGGTGCAGAGGGGAAGGATCCCCTTCCCCGACCTGCCGGCAGCGCTCCCCATGCCGAGGGCAGGAGCAGAGCCGCAGCCTGGGCCAGGGCTGGAGCCCTGGGCTCGCACGGCCTGACCAGCACCGTTGGGCCAACAGTGCCACCCTCGACGGCTGCCCCGCGGGACCTGCCTTTCGGCTCTGCGCTGGCTGCAGGAGCAGCCGCCCCGCTCCCGGGGGTGCCGAGGGCTCGGGCCCCCGCCTCGGCACTTCGCACCCACCCCTGTGAGGCGGCGGCCGGCTCCGAGGGGCTGGCACGTTCCTGAGGGCGTCCCTGCCCGTCGTTGGGGTGCATCCAGGCCAACGGTGCTGATGTCACTGTGGCCACTGTGACCCGCGGGGGACAAGCCTACATAAAGCATCGCTGGGCTCAGGCTGTGCCTCAGTGCGACCTGGTGAGGTGAGGGGAGGGCAGGGGTGGACGGGGCTCGTGCGGGGCTGCCGAGGGAGGAGGGCGGTCCCGTGCCTGGGGACGCTGGGCCTCTGCTGCAAGCTGACCCGCGCCCTGCTTCTCCCCCAAAGTCAGCCGAGGAGCACTTGGGAGAGACACCCCAGCACTGCGGGGACAGCGACTCTCCCAGCACTCACTGTTGATGGGTGAGATGACTGCGAGGAAGCAGGAGGCCGCCGACTTGATGGAGCCAGGTGAGAGCAAAGCATCCCTCCTGCAGCATAGCAGAGGGGCTGTCGGGGCGCTCAGCGTGGGGCCGAGAGCGGTGGCAGGGGCAGGCAGGAGCTCCCCAAGCGCCCCGGGACAGGGCCCCTCGGTGCTGCAGCCAGCGGGGCCCAGGCTGGGCCGTGGGCACCTGCTGCTGGGACACCCGTGCCTGCAAGGCCAGCCCTCAGGGACGCTTGTCCCCGGCCCTGCAGAGGTGAGCTGCTCATTCCCGCTGTCGTTTGCTCTCTCCCCTCCAGCATGCATGCTGTGTGGCCGGGCAGAGGCTGACCCGGACATCTACGGGGAGAAACTGCAGAAGCAAGGGATCTGCGCCCACGTCTTTTGCCTGGTGAGTGCCCCCGGGACTCCCTCCAGCTTGCCGACAGGCAGCCCCGGCCACGCTCTCCTTCTCATCCATCACCTCCTCATCTCCTCTCTCCTGCGCAGTTTTTTGCCAACGGCCTCGTCCGGCAACAGGTCAACAACGTGGGCCTGATGGGATTCCCCTTGGAAGATATTCGCTGTACAGTCGAGCATGCAGCGCAGAAGGTGAGAACCGGACAAGCTCAGGGAGATCTGTGGTGCCACGGGAGCGGTGTGGGAGCTTAGCCCAGACCCTAAGAAAGAAATCCCAGCCCTTCCAAGCAGCTCTGGGACAAAAGTCTCGCACCCAGCAGCTCCACAGAGCCTCCACCCAGACCCAGCACAGGAGCCTCGTACGCCGGGCGCATCCGCGGGCTCTGACCCAGCAGTGGGGCCGCATCCTGCGCCCTGCCCGGAGGCGTGGGGCTGGCTGTGGAGGCCCTGAGGCTGCCGCTGATGGGGGCTGCTCTGCTCTTTCCAGCGCTGCTTCGTCTGTGGCGAGAGCGGGGCCGCCATCACCTGCTGCCAGGAGGGCTGCGACCGCAGCTTCCACCTCCCCTGCGCCGTGGAGGGGGAATGCGTCACGCAGTTCCGTACTCAGTACAGGTACCTCCTCTCCCCTTCTTGCCGCCACCGGGGAAGGACCCAGCCATTCCCACCTCCTCACCCTTCCTTTTCCTCGTGCCTCCCCAGGTCCTTCTGCTGGCAGCACCGCCCAGAGCAGGCAGTGGAGGCGGCTCCGGGGGAGAACACCGCCTGCCTCATCTGCCTGGACCCTGTGGAGGACAGGAAGTCCTACGGCACCATGGTGTGCCCAGCGTGCAAATACGCCTGGTTCCACAGGGCCTGCATCCAGGTAGGAGCCCTTCCCTCGCCCACGGGGGGGGCACGGCGGGCGCCCAGCAGCACCAAGGCCTCACGCCTGCTCCTCATGTTTCCCCTGCAGGGACAGGCTGTGCGCACCGGCATTTGCTTCCAGTGCCCTCTCTGTAGAGATAGGCAGTGCATTTATCACGGAGATGCTCACCATGGGCATCCGAATCCCCATTCAGGTTGGTGTCCTGCCCGCCCCACCAGACAGGAGGGTGCCAGCGTTGTGCCGTGCCAGGGACTGCCCCTGCGCTCCCGGCCCTCCGCGCTCTCCCCTCAGCCTGGGCTTCAGCTTCACGCAGGAGTCAGAAAGCAGGCAGGGGGGGAAGAGCAGGGACGCCCTGCATCTGCCTTATGCCGGGGCAGCAGGGGCTCAGCAATTTTCCCTTGTGTTTCAGATCCCCAGCATGGGAGAAGGAGCCTGCAGATGCAGCACCAAATGAGAGGCACAGCCGCTGCGATGCCCGTGAGTGCCTTTGCCCAGGAGGCAGGCAGCACACAGAGCAACAGGGGTAAGTTGCCCGAGCGGCACACCAGGCTCTGCCCAGGATCTCTGTCTCGCCAAGGGCTCGAAGCGGAGGGACGGAGAACAAGAGCTCTGCCGGACAATCCCGTGCTGTGGTCACTTTGTCCTCACAGCCACGCACCCGTTTGTTTCCCCAGGCCCTGGCAACTGCTCCTGTGCTGCTCCTGCGCTGCCGAGGGCACCCACAGACGCTGCTCCCACTTGGGGACCGACACGGCCATATGGGAGTGTGACAGCTGTGCTGGCCTGGGCACCGGTAAGAGGCAAAGCACCCGGGTGCCCCCGGGCGAGGCCTGGCAGCAGGTGCCCATTCTGGGCTTGGCAGAGCCCCTCTGCTCCAGGGGGGCTGGGGGCACCGCTCTGGCCTCTCCTGCCGTGGGCCTGGGGGGCCGTGCCCGTGACCTTCCTGCTTCCCCTTACAGCCTCCAGTGGCAGCTCGGAGGTCGCGGGTCCCATCACGGAGAGCCAGTCAGGATCGGGGCCGTCCCACAGCTCTCCAGCACCAGAGACCAGCAGCCCCAGCACAAGCAGCATGGTGGCATTGGGGTCCTCCACCAGCTTCACAGAACCGGAGAGCAGCAGCCCCAGCAGCACTGGTCTCCAGGCAACATCGGGGCTGTCCCAAGGCTCCCCAGTGCCTGAAAGCAGCAGCTGCTCCAGCCCACCTGGGCCCGACCGCGTGCGAGACCGCTCTCGCTCGCGGCGTCGGGCCCAAAAGCCCTACAGCCGGCGCACAAGACGCCGTGGCAGGAGCCGCGCACCAGCACCCAGGGCTGAGAGCAGCAGCCCCGCACAGTCGGTGCCGGGATGCTCCCGTGGCTCCCCGGTACCCGAGACCGGCAGCCCCAGCACCGCCAGCCAGCTGCCAGCGGGGTCCTCCCCCAGCTCTGCAGGGCTCCAGAGCAGCCGCCGCCCCAGCCGCCCCGGGCCCGTGCGGGGACGAGACCGTTCCCACTTACGACGTCGGGCCCAGAACCCTTACAGCCGGCCCGGACGCTGACGCGCGACCAGCCCTGCGCCGGCCCTGCCTGCTGGCCCTGATCCCCCTCCACCGCTCCAATAAAGTTGGCCGTTAATCTCTGCCCTGGGAGATTCCACGCTCCTTTGTTGGCTTCCGCCTCCCCTCCCTTTCCCGAGGGGCAGCGTTAGGGGCTGGGCCCACAGGGTTGTCTTCTCCCCGGGGCTCGGCAGCACCTTCCCCAGACCTCCCTCCTCGCGGGCTGGCCTTGGCCGGCTGCCCAGCGCCATGGCCGTGGGCTTCGGGCCTCGCTGGCCCCGCAGCCTGCTCCGCTTCCCCGGGGAAAGTTCGAACGCACAAGCGGCAAAGCGCCTCTGCTTTAAAAGTTCCCCTCAGAGTCACCTCTGGAGGTGTGACATGAAGGTTGCTGCAGATGGTGCTGCTACAGTCGTAGCCAAAGGGCATTGCCCTTCCCCAGTTCCAGCTCCTGTTGCCCACCGTGGGTGCTGCTGTACCAGCTTGTCCTGGCTTTGAGGGAGCGGTGGGGTTTTTTGGTAGCAGGGGAGGGGGCGACAGCGCTGGCCCTCTCTGAGAAGCTTCTCGAAGCTCCCCCGGCTCCAAGCAGGCCCTACCTCTGCAGCAGGGCCGAGCCAAGCAGCTCCACCTCTGCGATAACGCATTTAAGAAGGGACCTGGTGAGGAGGAGTGGGACTCGTGAGGAGGACTTGCCGCAGCTGCGTGAACACCAAGGTCAGTGGGGGAACGGAGGAAGAAAGGAGGGGGGAGGTGTGCCGGAGCAGAGTCTGCCCCCCTGTATCCTGTGGGGAGACGGTGTCGTGGTTTAGGCCTGGTTGGCAGCCAACCGCAATGCAGCAGCTCTCTCTCCCTTCCCCTCCGGCAATGAGAAGGGACAGAGAGCCAGGCTTGGGGTTCGAGATAGGACTGGGATGGGGAAAAATTCCCCTTTATGATCACAAACAAAAGGCAGCCTCGTTAGGGGAAGAAAAAAAAGAACATACATTTATTACAGACACTCACAACACATAACAGAGTAAGACAGTGAGAGGCATTGCCACATCTTGAGAACACCTTCCCCCCACCCCTCCCTTCTTCCCGGGCTCAGCTCTGCTCCCGATATCTCTACCTCCTCCCCCAGTGGCGCAGGGGCAGGGAATGGGGGCTGCAGTCAGTGCTGCCACTTGTCTTCTCTTCGGTGAGGGGACTGTCCAGGAACTTGTTCCTCCTGCTCCATCGTGGTCCCCCTCTCACAGGAGACAGTCCTCCACAAACTTTCTCCAACGTGAGCTACTCCCATGTGCCGCAGCGTTCCCCACACTGCTCCGTCATGGGTCACTAACCTTCTCCGACTGGATTCCCTCCCACGGCTGCAGCCCTTCCCGAGCTGCTCTGGCGTGGGACTCCCCCGCATGCTGCGATCCTCCCAGCACTGAATTACAGCAGTGGGGCTACCTTTTCCCAGGAGACCCCGGCCTTCTTCAGGCACCGTCACCTTGATCATACGAGCAGAAGCCACAGGCCATAAATCAATGTCTGCTCCACCGTAGGTCTTCATGGGTGGCAGGGAGGGGCCGCCCTGCCGTTTCACCACAGGATACAGGGGGGTCTCTGCTCTGGCACACCTCCCGCCTCCTTTCTTCCTCCATTCCTCCACTGACCTTGGTGTTCATGCAGCTGCAGCAACTCCTCCTCACAAGTCCCACTGCCCGTCACCACGGCCCTTCTTAAATACGTTATCGCAGAGGCGCAGCTGATTGGCTCAATTTCCCAAACAGAAGTGGAGCTGGCTTGGAGCTGGGGGAGCTTCGAGAAGCTTCTCCCAGGGGGCCGCACCAATAGCCCCTCCCCTGACACCAAAAAAACTCCACCACTCACTCAACCCAGGACACCCAGATGAGCCCCCAGTTGTGAGAAACAAGCCCACGTATATTTCAAAATATGTTTTATTGGGGACAGAGTCAGTGGAGCAAAGAATACAGCACTGGGCACAATGGCGCAACCTGCCCCAGCAGGGGCTTCTTTTTATAGTTCCAGTCCTCCTTTTTGCACCCACGCAGTTCCTTTTCCTTGGTTTCTCCGAGGCTGTCTCTCTCTCTCTGTACTTTTCCACTGCTTCAGTACTTCTTATCACAAAACAGGCAGCTGCTGAGCGGGGGAGGCATCCACAGTGTTATATGTAACTATTCAGTTTAAACATGAAATCAAACAAAGAACAATGCAACACAACCAAGCCAAGCAACAAGTCCACTCGCTTTCCTTCCCACCCACCCACCCCCCCCCCCCTCTTCTTTGGCATTTCCAGTTGGTGTCGGTGGTCCTCTGAGGTGGGGGGGATTGGTGGAGGGGGTGAAGTACAGGTTCCTCTTCATCAGGAGTTCTTCGCTTAACCCTTTTCTGCTGGCTTTCATTCCTCTTTACATGATACCTAACCACAGACACACACCCCCATCCTCCTGCTTGCCCAACTCCCCACAATGCCCAACCCTATGCCTGACCTCTGATCAAAAAAGGCTTGCTCAACTGTTATAATTTTAGCAACACTAATTTAATAACAGCTTTAGCCTAACTCAATAAAAGTAATTCTTTCATTACTGTTAGCGAAAGCAAAATTCTACCGTTACTTCTCACATAGCGAATCCTTCAAGGTGGGGTGGTTCCCCGTTGGTTTGTGACATCACTGGAGTGGGGGGGTCCCTGCCTGGGCAGTGACATCACGGGCAACTCTCTGAGATGGGGGTTCCCTGTGGGGCTGTGACATCACTGAGGACCACGTGGGGTGTGGGGGTGTCCCCACCAGGGTGCTGGCATCACACAACACCCACGTAGGGTGGGGGGTGTCCTGCTGGGTTGTGATGTCATCAGGCAGCCACGTGGGGTGGGGTTTTCTCTGATGGTTGTGATGTCACAGAAAACTCAGTGGGTTTGCTCACCGGAGTTCTGATATCATAGTGCACCTTCGGGGTTCCCCACCATGTTTGTGATGTCACAGAGGACCCTCTGGTGTTTCCAACCACAATTGTGACATCATAGAGGACCCTTGGGGTTCCCCACCAGGGCTGTGACATCATAAAGGACCTTTGCTGTTCTGCATCAGAATTGTGATGTCATAGCAAGCTCTTGGGGCTCCCTACCAGTGTTGTGACATCATAGTGGACCCCTGTGTGGTGGGAGTGGGCTTATGACATCACAGGGGAGCTCATGGGGTTGAGGTGGGGATCCACAATGGAATTGCAGTATCAGAGTTTCACTTAGTTCTGATGGGGATTCCCCAACCCTGGGTTGTGATGTCACTGGTGGGTTATGACATCCCTGAGGGGGTGGCTCCCCTGCCCTATGATGTCACTCATGACCCCGCCTCCCAGGCATGGTGGCATGAGGAGAATGACAGACTCCGACAACTCTATAAGAGTCACAAATCAAAATCGTTTATTGCCGATACAAGTGTGCTTATATGTCTGCCTAGCAACTGATCAGACATGAACAGAAGGCTGGATTGGTTACATGCATTCCTCACACACTGTTCACACGCCCAAGACTAACGTTTGATTGGTCACTGCCCTCTGTCCATAATACACCAGACAATTCATTGGCTACAAGTTAGTTACAGGTATCCTAAAGCCTATTGGTTAATTAAATCTTACAAGCACAAACGCAATGTTCTATACACTTTTAGCTCAAGGTAGAAAACTTTCCACTGTTTAAGAAACTACCAGAGGTTTCCCATCAACCATAGCCTGGCATGTTTTCTTCAGACAAAGCTCAGCATCCTTATCTTGTTTTTCTACATTCCTGTTCACTACTCCCAAGGCTTCTGGCTGATGAAGGTCAAGATGTTCTCATCATTCACCAGCTGTAGAACTCTCTCAGTTCTTCTTCCTCTTTTCACATCCGTTTTGCGATGTAGCCAAAGTCTTGCTCCTGTCCAATGTGGCCGTTGTCCTCCAAAAATGATCCCACAGTGGCAGAGGAGAGGAAGCTCTTTGACATGGATGAGCATGCTGGGGGGACCCGAGATCCCTGAATTCTCACTTTGGGAGGGGACACAGGATCCTCTGACACTGCCCTGCCAAATAATTTGAGGGGAGTTTTGTGTTGTTTGAACCACAAGCCCCCATTTGCGGGGCGCTACAGTGTTTCCTGCAAACAACACCCAATTATTTTGGGGCTGATCCCTGAGACCCTCCAAACCCCCATTTTGAAAGGGTTGTGTGGTCAGTTGACGCTCCTCTTAATTCAGTTTTGGTTGCCCCCCATCTCTGTCTTCCATTTTGGTAGGTTGTTGGGATCTCTGACCCCCCCACAACCTTCCATTTTGGTTTGCCTGCCCCTCCCCCCCCAATTATATTGAGGGTGGTTTGGGTTTTCTCCCCCCCAATATCTTCCATTTTTTGGAGGGGTGACAGTCTGAATCCCCAAAACTCCTGATTTTTGGGGGGTTAAATCATGCCCCGCCCCCCCTGAAATTATTTGTGGGTAGTTCCAGTGTTCCCACACCAGCCTATATTGAGGGCCATTCAGTGCACCCCCTCCAGCTTGCCAACATCCTTCCTGTACTGGGGATCTGCAATCCGGACACAGTAACCTGGACAAGCCCCTCTCGTGATCTCCTGGCCGTCCTGCTGGCCACAAAGGCCTGGGTGCAGCTGGCCTCCCTTGCTGCCAGGGCACACGGCTGCCTCCTCTCCAACCCACCCAGACCTTTCCCACGGGGCTTCTCCCAGCCAGGCAGCTCCCAGCCTGGGCCATTGCCAGGGGGATGTCCTGCAGGGTCACACACGGGCACTTGGCCTTGCTGGGTTGCCTGAGGTTCCTGCCAATGCGTGCTCTCCTGCTCGTGGAGCCCTTTCCCTCAGCACACAGGCCTGGAGACCTTTTCAGAAAAGACTCAGGCAAAGAGGGGTTTTGAGTGCCCCAGCCCCACCTGCCTCTGCTGTTATTAAATCAGCCTTCCCATTCAGCAGTAGCCCTGCATGTTCCTTCTTCAGCCTTGATCTCTAATGAGCGATTGAAGCTCTTCCTTTTGC